AAAAAAAAATAATATATATATATATACATGGGTGTGGAGCTGAAAATTGAGCTCATTGTTTTGCCCTTTTAAAATGTGTTTTTCGAAGATTTGCCTTTCATATTGCAGATGGGAGAGAGGATGTGCAATTTTACCTTGTGTAACATCTTTGCCTGAAAAGCTCAAAGTATTTGTAGACGGTTTTTAATGAATAGTTCCCATGTTTGCCTGCTGAGGAAGGCAGAGGTTTGTGTAATTTACTTCCATTTTACACCTAAGGAAACTGATATTTAAGGAAAAGAGGCTCAGAATTTCAACCAGTAGCAGAATTAAGAAAACAAGCCCAAACCTTGCCACCAGGCTAATGATGCCCAGTCCAATGACCCTGGAGGTTGAACATGACCTCCAAACACAGTGGTATCATTAGAAAAAATTCACCATACGTAATGTCCTGGGCCCTTTAAGTGTATATCTTGCATTTATTATTTAGATTATTTGTATCTATTTTTACTGTTTTCTAGTTTACCAGCCTCTCTGTAATTTTAGTAGCTTCTGATTTTGGATCTGTTATTGAAATTGAATTTCAGGAATGTTTTTGTAGTCATTCTAACTCATTCTAGATACATAAGAGAAATCAAATCAGATATGGAAACACAGAAATCAGGTATGTGTATATCAGATAAAATTATATTTTGATCAAATTTTTGTACACGCAGAAGAGTTAACAAACATGCATTAAACTAAAAATTATGTATTAGAGGTCTCATGATATATGAAGTATGGCATAACTCAACTGAGCATGTACATCAGTATCATTTTTACTAAAAAGATAAAATTTAATCCTAAGTAGTTCTAATTATACCCAAATCATTTGTTTGGTCATTTGAGCAACGAGAAAACAACCAACTAAAATACTTTAAATTGGTAGAAATTATCTCAGCATCTTTTAAGAAGGGCTCATGAAATGTAACCTTAATGTAGCTATTATTTCATTATTTATAGAAGATCCAAAATGATGGCAAGAATGATTCAGATAAAACAAAAGAAAAACGAAATAAAACAAATGCCTCAGGAAATAAAGATGTAGTTCGTGACCTTAGGAAGCAAACTGTAGGTGGATGGCGGCAAGCAAAGCAAATCAATTAATGAAAGTGACTAAAACCTTTCCGATGGACAGAGTCTTTTGTTTCGGAAGCTCATAGGAAATGACACATAAATAGTTTAACAATGTAAACATGTGCTCATTCCTAGTTCCTATTTTCTCATCTCAACTCCCCTCCCCTCTCACCTGACATTTGTTATTTTACCCTTCACCCTCCCCCACCTCAAGTTCAACTCTAGAATTTCCTAAAATGGGTATCCCATATTATCATCCCTTCTTTTCCTATCCAAGGGATGGGACTCAAGGTTTGTATTTAAACTCATGATGAAACCCAATATCAATTTTAAGGAACATTTCTTTTAGCCTTAAAAAGCTTACATACCTTCTTGCTGCGGTATATTTTAATCTCTGCCTTTAAAATCATCTCTTTGTCAAAAAATGCTAATGAGTGTCATTAGAAAAATAGAATCATAACTGTATGAATGGACATGGAGGTAAGAGCCTGAGTTCCCACTCATCACAGCTGCAGCAGTAATCAAATAGTCTCCTGTTTTGTCTTTGAAATAACTCACAGTTACAAGGCACATATAACTTCTGTCTATAAAATATGAGTCTATAGATCAGGCTTTTATTTTTACTTTACTATTAAGGAAATCAAAAGCAAAAACCCAAAACAGGATTTCCAGTGCACGGGACATTTTCTGTAGATGTTGAGGCCAAGAAAAGGAGGCTTGGACTGGCCCCGGAGAGCTCAGAGGGTCTTCCATGATTTTCTTTACCAAGAACACCTGCAGCTTGAAGGAATGCAAGGAAAGGAAATGTTCTGCTTTTCTTCAAAAATGACTTTTGCTTTCTAATCTGAGTAAAATAAACCCATTATAAAGCGTCAGAAGCAGTCTTCATTTGCAGCGCCACTGAAAAGCATTTCCAGGCTGGGAAAAATTTTTTTTCAAGGTATTTAAAAACCATCTAGCCTCACAAAAGAAAAATGTGTGTGTGTGTGTTTTTCAGGTCACTTCATCATACCTGATGATGAATACGTTTTTAATTAAGGCCTGGGCACAAATTGCGTTTTCCGAGTCACTGTGATGCCTGATCACTCCCCCGAGACACCCGCCATCAATGGGACTGATGGTAACTCTTGACACCCAAGGCCACTTTGTGTGTTCAGTGGTTAGAAAGGTGATTTCGGAGGCCTGGCAGCTGTTGGTGTTAAAGCTATTGTGTGGGAAACAAAGGCCATTCTGTTCTGTTCCCCAGCCGCCTTTGTATTGTTGATACAGGAGCTGTTTCATAAGTGGGTACTATTCTTTACCGGGGAATTTCATTACTGCCCATACGCTTCTGGACAGCAGAGGGGAAGGTCTGAACATGGCTCCCATGGAAGGAATCTTGGGCTCTGACCTCTGTTAAGATGCTTGCATTTTAATTCTGTTCATTAGGCCTACGATTAGATGCCATCAGACCAACAACTTTGCTTCCTGTTTTCTTTTCCCTGAACTACCAGACCCAAGGCTGGCTAGTGTGTGTTTGCTGCCAGCCCGTTTGTCTTGGAAATTAATCAGAGCACAGTACATGGTAGCGCCAACATGTACCGGTATTAACTAGTTTTCTTGTAGAATTCCTTATTGACCTGTCCTGGGAAAGTCTCATAGAGCAGATCAAAGTGATATTTATTTGAAGAACAGACACTTCACCCAGGCGGTCTATTCATTATTATCATTTAGGAAGGGTATCAGTTTACAAGGTTTTCAGTTGCATATATAAAAGAAGCAAACTGGCCTAAACAATAAAGAAACTGTGGTGGGATATGTCATTCTCCCAGCCATTCCTCCTCTCCTGGGCTGTGCCCTTGCTATGTGACTTTGAGGTTCCTCTCACTACAGGTCTTCCCCACCTTGTGGAAGTTGGACTTAGACACACAACTCGTGCTTAGAGCAGGCTAAGAAGTATTGCTGCTTCTCACTTTTTATACTTCTACCGTTGCCGTAAGAAGAACACACCCCAGCTATCACTCATCAAAAAAAATAAGAGAGTTGTGAGGCCAATCTGGAATCTACAGGTTGCAGTCAAACCCAGCTGAATCCAGCCTACTTGCCTGAGTGAGATAGATGACAGTTGCTTTAAGCCAATGCTTAAATGGTTTAGGGTAGTTTGTTATGCAACACTATTGTGGCAACAGCTGACTGATACATACTGTTCATATAACTGAAGAATCCAAAGGTAGCATGGGCTTCAGGTACGGTTTGAAAGGCATCCATTTTCTATTTCTCTGTGGTTCTCTTGGGGCTTTAACCCAGGATGGTTTCCCTCTTGTTGATACGGTGTCTGTATCATTTTGGGCTTCACATCCGTACCCAGGACCATCTGGAAAGCAAAATGCTTCTCTTCTCCAGCCTTCATTCAAAAGTGCTGGGCTTCACTACAGTCAGGTCAAAGTAGATCATGTATCTATCCTGGGCCAACTGTTGAGCAAGAAGTTGTGGGATTATTTGACTTGGTTTTTGTCCATCAGAGTCCTCTTTTAAAGATGGGAGTGGGCTCCAAAATCCATGGAGTGCTTCATTAAAGATGGGAGTGGGGGTGGAGCAGGTGCTGAGAGATACTAACTGTTGATTATGGAGGCTAAAATCTCCAAACTTTGTTTTAAATTTTTATTAATTGACTCAAGACATTTTTCTACCTCTTGCTAGGCTAGCTAGAGCTAGAGAGAAGGCATTTATCTTTTCGAGTTCACCTGCTATCTGATAAATGGCAAATCATGTGGCCCTACCCATGCCTCCTTATGCACTAGAAGCTGAGAGCCCAGCTTTACATGGGACTTTACCATTAGCCCACTAGTCTTCCTACTCCTGGGATTGCAGGATTTTAAGAAAATTAAAATAGGTTTAGCTTACTAGAATTTGAAGATCCCTGACCTAGAGGATGAGTTAATGCCAGTATAATGAGAATTTAACCAAGTGAGGTACATTGATAAGGATGTCATTCCACTGACTTCTGACCTCCATTGTTTCTGATGAGAAGTCAGCAATAATTCTTGTTACTGTCCAGATATATAGTAAGTATCAAATAAAAATGTCTTGAATTAATGAATTAAAAATAGAAACAAAGTCTCTGATACAGTTTAATGTTCTCTCATGAATATTTTATGTTCTTTCACGAATATCCCACCAGGTCTTTGAAAACTTAAGTTTGTACATTTACTGCTACCCTTTTCCCCCACCCCTCTTCGCGCCCCCAAGATTTTGCAGGAATGTGAATCAAACAAATTATCAATCCAGGTAATTTTTGCAAACATGGACACTAAAGTTATCACTAGATACTTTCTGTGCTTCTAAGAATCCTCCCTGAACAAGCTTTATCATCCAACATGTTTTTGTTATTTAACAATATTTACATGTCATTCTACAAATATTACTGAACACCTGTTCTGCATAAGGCACTGTGTTAAGTAGAATGAAGGATGTAGAATTGAATAAAGGATAACACTTGCCTTCAAGTACTCAACTATTATAATCTGATTGTTGTTCAGGTTTCAGGGAAACCTGGACAGCAGGAATGACTTGGGATCTTTTATGAAACTAGATTCTCAGGAAGCAACTTGTTTGTCTTCTTGTGGGATTATTAACCTTATTGTCTCCCATCAGAAAGGGCCTCAGTTCTAAATGAAACATCTGTCAACATTAGGACAAAAGTGACCCAAGCCAAGAATTTTGATGTGAACCAGCTTAGGTATATTTCCATATATTTACATTAACATCTTGAAACTTCCTCCCCGTAAATTTCACCATGGCTGTGCATGGGCACTAGTTTGATTTGCTGATAATGTCCTGGTTAATAACTCCATATAATTTCCAATTTGAGAATGCAGATTCACCTACATTTTCCTCATGTCCCTCTTTTTGTATTTTTTTTCCAGTTGAGTTATGCCTTGTACCATACCAACAGGAAACTAACGCTGGAACCTAAAATAACGGTTAATGCCAGGATTGTTGTGGTTGGCGCTTCCAATGTTGGAATCTCCTTCCTAGAGACCTTGGTGTTTTGGTGAGTTATTTTACTTTATTCATTTATTTTTAAGGGGGCCTCCTCTTCCTCACCTGAGAGGGTCCCTTGAAAGAACAGACCTGAGTTTTCTGTCACCCCGCACACCTTGGAATATTCTAGATCAGAGGTTGGCAACGGTAGCCCCCAGGTCAAATCTGGCTGTCTGCCTGCACTGGGACACAGACACATTTATGTATGTATGTATGTATGTGTTGTCTGTGACTATTCTCTTGATACAGCAGCAGATTTGAGTAGTTGCAACAGAGACTACATGGCTTTTAGTGTCTAAAATATGTACACTCTGACCCTTCCCAGAACAAATTTGCCAACCCCTGTCCCACGCTAGTGTTCCCTTTATTGGCCAGATCATAGGCATCACCTGGAGCATCTGTTACAGGTGTAGCTTTCCAGACCCCACGTCAGACGTCCTGAGTCAGACACCCCCAAGGAGTGTTCTGGAAACCTGTATGTAACAGGTGCGCCATACAGTCAGGCTGGTTTGGGAACCAGTTTTGGCTTCATGCATCACAAATAGGCGTGCAGAGATGGCAGACAGGCCAGGACCATTCTTCCAACCCCTGCATTTTAGATGCCAGGGAACAGAATGAAGCCCTGCAGGGAAGATTGACGCCTGCACTTCTCTTCGATGCTGTTTTCTATTATCCTCAAAGCAGTAAGCAAGTTTCCTTTCAGAGCCCATTTTATTTCTTCTTTTTAAATTTGTCTTTATTGTTGAAAGTATTACAGATATCCCCTTTCTCCCCCCACCCCCCCAGTGAACCCCTCTTTCCAGCTCCAGCCCTCTCCCCAGGCCTTCACCACACTATTTTCTGTGTCCATGGGCTATGTATATATGCATATAAGTTATTTAGTTAATCTCTTCCTGCCACCCGCCCCCCCTTCCCTCTGAGAGCCCATTTTCTTGATGTGTGGTTCCTGAGGATTTTCCACTTTCCCCAACTAGCTCTCCATACGCTTATTGAATCTCAGCACCTCCTTCCCAGGAAGAGCCTGGGTTATTCCCCAAGGATTTGAGTTCATAGCCTCACGTCACCACCCACTGACATGGAACCCTAGATGCATTGCTTAATATCTTCAGACTCAGCTTCCTCATTTAGTTTTTAAAAGTTTCATAGATGTTTTAAAAGGCCCTGACTTTGCGCATCTACAGATTGCTGAATTAAAAGAATCCAGATCCCCCCCCTCCCCGCCAATTTTTTGCTCAGGATCACATGAGAAATGTTAGCTACTTTTAAAACTACAAGTGCTAAGAGGCAAGCGGAAGATGAGAAAGAGCAGCCCCACTCTGACTCCCCCAGAAGCCAGCAAAACTGTCAGGGGTTAGTCAAGGAAAGGGATGGAGGAAATTCCCCCTAAAAGATGCTTATTCCTGGCTGATGTGGAGACGAGCTGTCCCCACACGGCTCTTTTACTCAGTTGATACCACAATAACCAGATAAAGATTTTTTTTTCACTTTCCAGCCAATTTGTCCAGTGATCCAGAACATACCCTTAGTTAACCAAAAAATAAGTCAAGTGTCATTATTGAAATTAGGAACGGAGTTCATGGGATTTAAGCATTGTGGTCAGTCTACAGCAATCTTTTATTGCAGAAGGAAATAATGAGAAGCACTAGAGCTACCCATTTTCGTCTGTGTGCCAACCACAGATTGAGGGTTACATTTATTCTGATGGGTCTCTTTACTTAAGACTCCGAATAGCAAGTTGTTTGCAACCATTTCTGAATGATGAATTATCAGGGTGGAGTTGTGAAATTATCGTAGTCAAGAAGTTATCATGAGCAGATCTTAAATCTTCATTATTTTTATTTTGAGAGTATGCTTATGAAGGCTGGGAAGGGTGAAGTAAGGAAGGACTTAAGGTAGAAGAAGCAACAGGAGAGAGCCCAGGTGGGGCTGCTTGGGCTCACTAACATTTCAGAGAAAAGGGGGCCTTGGAGACAGGTTCAGGGGGTTAACCCCAGGATGAGCTGCTGCTGCCCATTGCTCCCCTGGTTGCAAGTCTCATGTGGACCCTTAGAATTTAGGGGTAAAAAGCATGCTTGAGAGGGAAGAAAGATATGGGTATGCCCCCGGCAGAGAGTACCAACAGGTCTTAAATCTTAATTTAGCTATATATTTAGTCATTATGTTTCATTTAAATGAGTTCATTAAGACATATACATATCATTTTCCTTCTGTGGAATCAACTTAGATTTAATAAAGACATATAAATTTTAATATCAGTAGTTGGTTGATTAAATTCCTCAATCAGGCAGACTTTTTAAAAGCATTTTAAAGTTCTCATAATTCTCTATCATTGTTACACAGATTATGTACACTAAAAATAGACTGGTATCAGTTTACGGATCTCTAATCCGTAAGAGAGGAAGGAGTTTTCTCATTATTTTCCCTAATTATTTTAAATTAGCAATTACCAGAGTAACCTGGTGCATATTTTATTTTACCAGTATAACTGCCATTTGAACAAGATTTTAAAAATGATTTGAGCTGGAATGAAATTGAAGAAACACAGTTTTCACCAAATACTGACCCCCAGTGAAGATTAAATTAGCATTTTGGAGGCAAGATTCAGAAAAATCCCCCTCCTTATGCTCCTGCACTGTGTGATCTAACCGGCTGGGGCATTTGAGGCCCAGCACAGCAGTCTCTTTTTCCAGAAGACCTGGTAATCCTGTCATTTGGCGACAAAGGAGAAACACTCTTTGTTCCTATATTATTTACATGCAAAAAAGTAACAAAGCACATTTGGTCACCTCTTCAAAGGACATCTGAGGCAGTCCTTGCATAAATTCTCTGCCCTGGTCCTAGCCTTCTTTCCACAGGTGCAAGGTGTTACTGGGGAGCTGAAGTCATTTACCCAAAGTCATCAACTAATAACGAGGATGTGGGGAGGGAATGTTGAGGGTGATGTTTTGATGTGTGTGTGTGTGTGTGTGTGTGTGGTGTGTGTGTGTGTGTGTGTGTGTGTGTGTGTGTGTACGTGTGTGTACGTATTTTATCCGGTCCTCGGCTGCTTCCACCCACAGTTACATATGCACAGACACACCTTCTTTTCTTTGGTTGTCAGGCCTGAAAGTCGCCCAGCATCTTTTTCTTGTCCTTAGAGTAAGGCCTCTCAGGCCCTCCGGTATCAGTGACATGTGTGACAGACATTTTCCTGCAGACACACACTGGCATGCGGTGTGGTTCTCCCTGTCTTCCTGGTCCTGGGGAATCCTTCAGTGCTGGGCTGAGTGGCAGCCCTGCCCTTAGAGCCGTCTACTGTCTCCGTCTCCCCTCCCAAGGCCGTTGACTGGCTGATGGAGGACAGGGCTGCAGGGTAATTCAGGTTGGAGTGAGTCTCCCTCCCCCACATGCAGGTCCTTGTGCATTTGTCCCCTGAGGGTGCTTATGCCCAAGCAACTCAGCGGGGAGCCTTTCCAGGCCCCCACCCCACACCCTGCAGCCAGTGTGGCCTCCAGCTGTAGACCCATCCTGGCCATCATGTCCCCTGCCAGGGTGTGGGCCCCCATGATGGGAACCAGAAGCTGAGCAGGGGAAGGACACCAGGTGTGGGCCAGGGGAGGAACTTTGGGGGATGGGGGGGGCTGTAGCGGAAAAATCCCCATTCATCCACTGGTATAGAAGGCAGTGAATTGGAGGGGAAAGATAGCTCGTAATACATTTTTCTATAAATTATCTGTGTTCTTTATCATGCCCAGGACATTCAAGTGATGGACCTGAACTCTTCAAATTAAGGTTCTTATAGCTACAGGTTGTATTCCTTTGGCTGCCTGGGACTGAAAGTTCTTGGCTTGGGAAACATAAGCATTTCATATATTATCCTTTGCAGTACTTCCATTAATAAATCTCCTTTATTTTTTATTTTTTTAATCTTTATTGTTGAAAGTAGTATATATGTCCCCTTTTTCCCCCATTGACCTCTTCTAGCCTGCCCCCACCACCTGCTCCAGGCCTTCACCACCCTATTGTTGTGTCTGTGAGTTTTGCATATATGCATACAAGTTCCTTGGTTGATCTCTTTCCAACCACTGGAAAAAGCAGAAAGAACTTGGCCTTGGCCATTAGACCCGCCTCTGCTGCCAACCAGTGCTATGCTCCTGACAGGCGGTCCTATTCTCACCGTGCTGTGGGGAGGGTCACAGCAGGGGACCCCAAGCTCAGAGGTGCTGTCACCCTAGGAACTCCACCGTGTCACAGGTTTAAAGGGAATTCCCTATTCTTGGACTAACAGGCGGGTGCAGAGGTGAGCTTCTGTCCTCCGAAAGCTCTTTCCAGAAAGCAAGAGGCTTCTTTCCACAAAGCATAGAGAGTCATAGTTTTACTAGTCACTTTGTGCACCAACTCTAGTCCTGCTGAACTCCCCAAAAGTAATACTTTGAATATTTCAGGCTTCCTACAAAAATACTTCAAAATCATTTTTTTTAAAGAAATATGGGAAAGCTATACCAAAAAAGGGCAGGAGCCAGTCTCTGGATGTGTTTTATGGCCTTTTCACTCACAGCATGGTCTGTGGACCAGCAGTATCAGCATCGTCTGGGAGCCCCTTAGAAAGGCAGAACCTCAGGTCTGCCATGGACAGTGGCCCAAAGAGAGATTCATTCCCAGGATTATACAGGACAGTGTCTTCACTATCTCTTGGGCTTGAAATGGCTGAGCTGAAACAGTTCCTATTTTATTCTGTTTCAGTCGCTCGTTTCTGTGTTTCTGTGTATTATATTATTTACACCTAATTATGGAACAATTCCTTTTAATCCATTATTTTTAAATCCTCCTTAATTCAATTCTGATGTAAAGAATCTCTTGAAGAGCCTGTGATGTCACTAGAAAAATGCATCAATGAATCCTGGGATGACATGACTGAAAGCAGCCGTAGGTGATGTCCTGATAACCTTTTGTATGACTAGAGAAATAGACACTTTGATTTCCGGAATGCGCTGGTGGGCCCGGAAGCCCAAGCTTACCTTGTCTTGCAGT